GAACCCAAGACAACCGTAAGCCGGAATAACTGATGCCATCAATACGAGTATAATAATGACTTTGAGATTTGACCATCCATATCGGCGCTGTATATATGGCCAGGCAAGGGAACCAAGAATTCCAGATGTGGGTGTAAGTACGCCTACGAGGATAAGTGCAGAAGGTCGCATATTCAATGAAGTCTTGCCAAATAAAATGGCGGTAGATGTGATTGTGGTGAAACCTGCCGGTGGAGAGTATTAGACGGTGATCTGAGAGGAATGAGACAACTGCCCAACTCGCCATCTGACAATAGGAACCACGCGGCAAGGTACTTAAACGTGTTCCTCAACTTCTTTATCTCTATCCATCGGAGCATGTTGCCAAGGCGCTTCCACGCCGCGACAATCTCCCTCTTCGTGCTCCACTGACCGGGCGATGTATCAGACATCTCGACTCTTTCACTACCACTTGCCCCGGGCAGCCAGATTGCGGCAGGTATCGTGAGAATGGCCCACCATATACCACTGATCCCAATAGCAAGCCTCAGAGCGAACGTAGATCCACGAAGGAGTGTCACGGGGATGAGAGCGATCATAAGGAGAAATATCCCTGCTCCATATCCAAGGGCAATCCCGAAAGAAGATATACGAGAGGTGACTCTAGACAGTTCCATCTCGTATTTGGCCTCGAGGATATCGACTTCACGCGTAGTATCGCGATTGATAAGAGGTGAATCTGGATAATCCGAGCTCTCATCTGGGGCATTTGAAGGATGTGCCTCCTGCGCGTCCTCGATTTCGGCAAGAATTTGACAGACCTCAGGGGATTCCCTTGCTAGGGTGGGCAAATATGCATTCATGGCTACGACGGATGCACCAAAACCGACATTTGCAAATATGGCCAATGGGGCAACAAGGATCCAAACAGGCGATGTCGAAGGTAGGATTAGAAAGATGGTCGCAGCGATTGAGCCAAGCAGAGCGAAAGATAAAAGCAAACGTTTTCGATGAGGCGCTGTTGAGTGAAGGCCGCGTCAGATCCAAGTCAATTGAGTATAAAGGTACAATGCATACGGTGATCAGCAATTCCGCCCATTGAAATTACCGTAAGCGCTTGCAAGGCCACAGATATTGAGTAAACATACAAGCTAAAACAAAATTGAAGCTTGAACATATACCTGAGGTAGATCCACCCACCTAAAGCTGGCGCTATCTATCCAAGCCCAGCCTATCTTGACCACACAACGTGTTGTTCCTCTCTCTAGCTTTGCAATTGCAGAACACCGCTCTGTACGACCAGGAAGAAGAAACCCATTATCTCTTGCGAATTGCTCGAGGCATATTGGTAAAAATAGTGTTAACGAAACTATGACGAAAACCTCGCTATTGAAGGGGAAAGGAAAAGTCAGGAAATCAAGCAACAGCCTTACTTTGAAGCTCACATGTGTCACTCACCTTGCAAATGCATAGCTGAGCCACCCACGAAGCTTCTTGTTGTACGCTACGGAGTCCGACAGCATTGAGAAAACACTTATCTATCCTCAAGACATTAACGTTTTGACCGCCGTGGCTGGTTGGCAAGATGTCGTCGTGGTCCTGAAAGGGGATAAGTTCTAAGTTAGTCCTCGAGACCTGAATTAGGTAATTCAGCAGGTTTTGATCGTCAGGAGTATTGTATTGTTGCAAAATTCTGAGTATTGAGGTTCAAGGATGCCGATTGATTATAATTGATTAAGAGATCTTTCAACCCCTCTTCTACTTCTGCAATCAGGTTGAGCTTGTTGCTGTCTACGTTGAGCCAGTATGATGGGCTGGGCAGCAGGTTGGAACCCCGCGTCGAGCGGAGATCGGATCGGATCGTTGCCGGAGGGCGAAATTATTTGACCTGCTTGCGACCTGTGACCACCATTTCATGCTTCGTTCTTTTGCTCCCTTCTCTCCATGTACACGCCGAGCACTTTCTAATCTGTATTCCACAGCATCTTTGCCACACAATGTATACGATGGTGCCACTCAATAATTTTTCAATCGATGTTGGCGTCCTGACGTTCGTTTTGCTAGTGTGTGTAATTGGTGGGGGCCACGCAGGATGCGAGGCAGCAACAGGAGCAGCGCGTACGGGGGCTAGAACACTGCTGCTGACTCAGAAGCTCGAGACTATTGGGGAGCTCTCATGCAATCCATCCATTGGCGGCGTCGGAAAAGGCACTCTTGTCCGTGAGGTAGACGCGCTTGATGGTGTTATGGGACGCGTTGCGGGTACATTTCGCAATTTTTCTTCACGAAAAAGCCTCGTTGACCTGCATTTCGCAGATAAAGCAGGAATACAATTCCATATTCTCAACCGATCCAAGGGAGCGGCTGTTTGGGTAACCTGTTTGTCTTCTTTCTAGAAACAAGCTCAAGGCCATTGAACGCGGTTTAGGGACCACGCGCTCAAATTGACCGAAAACTGTACAAGAAACATATGCAAGAAGTGTTGCACAATTACTCTGGGCTAGACATTCGAGCAGGCAGTGTTTTCGACCTCCTCTTTGACCACTCCGACCCGTCAACGTCAGATCGATGGGGAAAAATCAAGGGTGTCAAACTCGGTATGTTTGTTTCGACGTGTACAATATCTATGTCCTCTCACGTTCCCCAGACTCTGGCGAAGTCGTCCAATGTTCGCAGGTCGTCATATGTACGGGGACATTCCTCTCTGGTGAAATCCACATCGGAATGAAGATATTCCCTGCTGGACGCATAAACGATGCACCGTCAATAGGCCTTTCTGCGTCCCTCGCTGCTGCGGGCTTCAAACTCGGGCGCTTGCAAACAGGCACACCGGCGCGGTTGGACGGAACCACTATCAACTTTACTGGAATGGAGAAGCAACTTGGAGATGTTTTGCCTTCGCCATTCAGCTACCTACATCAAGATGTACCCAATGCTGTATGCGTGCTCGTCTACCACAAGGTCATAGCTTATGCTGTTTCATAGGCAAACCAGGTTGTGTGCTATCAGACACGGACGACTCCTGCGACACACCAACTGATACGGGATAGCCTTCATCTCAGTGTCCATATTCAGGAGACCAAGAAAGGTTTGCTTACTTCCTTTGTCACTGATAAACCCTTCCCTGAACTTCCTGGAGGCCCACGGTATTGCCCCTCCCTCGAAGCCAAAGTCCGACGTTTTCCGCAGAAGGAGAGCCATAATGTCTGGTTGGAGCCCGAGGGTTATGATTCAGGTACATATTGCGTTGTCTATTCGGACGACCAGGAGGGCTGAACCTTTGCCTTGGGTAGATGTGATATACCCAAACGGCATCTCGTGCAGCATGCCAGAAGAGCTGCAGGAATCTATGATGCGGACGATACCCGGGTTGGAGAACGTCAAGATGGTACGGCCGGCATATGGTGTCGAGTACGACCATGTCGATGCGCGTGAGCTCGGGCGTAGGTATTCTCTCTTCTTGTTCTCTTACTTAATCTTACATCTTTTACCAATGGATAGCCACCCTCGAGACGAAACGCATCAAGGTCGGGTGCCCGAGCCACAATGTCGGACTGCAACTGACTCTTCTTATCTTATCAGGGACTCTTCCTCGCGGGCCAAATCAATGGCACGACAGGCTACGAAGAAGCCGCTGCCCAGGGTGCAGTAGCAGGTATCAACGCTGGCCTTGCGGCACTCTACCTCCCACCAATGGTCATTACGCGTGCTGACGGATTCATGGGCGTCATGATCGATGATCTCATCGTCAAAGGCGCGGAAGAGCCTTGTATGTTGTGTTGTCTATCCTTTCGGAAACCGGCATTCATTGTTCTGGTTCTCTTGTTAGATCGGATGTTCACCTCTCGCTCTGAATACCGCATGACGTTGCGCAGTGATAATGCGGATTTGCGTCTTACGGAAATTGGTGTGTATATTCCCATGTTCGTAGATGTTGTCAATAATTGAGTTTTGCAGGACGCCAAGCGGGAGCTGTATCTGATGAGAGGTGGAAGGTGTTCACTGATACGCGTAGTCGTATTCAGGACACAACGAAGCTGCTCAACGACATTCGGCTTAGTCCACAGGCACGTTATACTGTCAAATCCTCGATTTGGTCTTGACAAAATCCTCTCATGATAGGGCTGGCGGACGCACGGGTTTATGGTACAGAACGATGGTGTGCTAAGAAGGTACGTCATCCATCCATGTTCAAGTATCCGTACTGACACGATGAGCAGTGCTTTCGAGATGCTGCGTCATGCGGGTGTAACTGCATCGATTCTTCGAGGTGCCGTACCTGCGCTCGCAGATTTGGACGCTGACGAGGCATTGCTCTCGCGGATTGATATCGACGGTATGTTTTCCTTGTTGAACTTTAGCTCCATCGTCTCATGGATGTTCAATGTCCACCCGCCCTTTAGGCCAATACGCAGCGCATCTAATCCGCCAAGAAGCTGACCTGCGTCTCTTCCTTGAAGATGAGGCGCTCACACTCGATCCTTTCATGGACTACTCTGTCATTCCAGGAATAAGTGAAGAGGTACGAGAGCGTCTTGGACGGGTACGGCCCACAAATGTCGTAAGTGTCCCCCCTTCATGTCATGCGTGGCTGGTGATCTCATTTTTATGGTTTAGGGTGCGGCGAAGCGAATGGAAGGGATGACGCCTGCGTCGATTGTGGCGTTGCTTCGCCATGCTAAGCGCACGTTCCGTCAACCTGCCATGTTGGTCGAATGATTTAAGATAGTACTTCTGGTGAAGATCACTGTTGGACTTGGAGGATGGCTGGAGATATGTAAGCTTGGCTCAGGCTTAGCGCTTCGTTGTGTATTCATGATGAAGTTGACGTGTGTGCTGCTAGGAGACTACAACGCGAGATGGTTTAATTCGGGTAACCCATTTACTCGTGACATCAATTGCTCCATTGTATCGTAGAATATCTACACTACATTGACATGATAGTGCGTATACGGGTTTCAACGCTCAAACAGATTGGCACGTTACGGAACAAGGATCTATTGCACCACTAATGGTCGAATGGGTTGATGGCGTAGTTCGTTATCGCATCTGTTTAACATAAACAGAAAGCCCACAGGAGGTTCTCAGTTCAAATCTGGATTGACTCAGTTCAGTCATTTGCCCTTTTGGTAACATTTAGTCTCTTACACTCAAGATCATCACCGAGTCTCTACATAGAATGCAATCGCTCAATGGAAGCAGAAGGGTGACCCATTCAAAACCTCTGTGCGGTGGTCGCGCTCGTTTCGGCGCTGGCGGCGACGGGCGGGGGTGCTGGGTGACTAGCAGCCACAGCGGAGGGTGGAGCAGCTCCCCGCGCGATTAGGTGCGGTACCGCGAACTGTTGAGTGGAGGGCAGGTTGCTCCGAAGTTGAGTTCTGAGCGCTGAGCCGTGACGTTGTTATCGTCGCCCTCGTACAGTTTATCTAGAGCAGTAGGCTGCAGAGTCCGTCCATCCGGCGATAGGCGTCCGGAGGGCAGACGAGAGTGGGCACCCTTCCCCCTGGAATTTAAACGCGTCCGAGAAGCCATAGCGGACATACGACCATGCAGTTAAGACAGTGAAGCAGAGATGTAGAGCTTTCCAGCGCCAGACGCGTAGCAGCTCGCGGTCACGCGATTGTCACAAGTCGAAGTTGCCTCGAAGTACGATGCCTTCCGGAGGGTCGCTATTTCAAGGATAAAGGCCTCGATCTATTCTAGATCTCGGAACACTCTCGCAACGAATATCAGTCCACAGGCCATCTGTTCTAATGTCAGAAGTTGTAAAGTACAGTTTATTTTCCCGCTTCGTACTCCACAGGCACCAAAGCGACGGCATCCTTCAACGACTTCATATCTAAAGAATTCTGTTCAGCCAAAGTCGGAACCCCCATCTGACCCTTCAACCCCTCATAAAAATCCTTCGTCAACCCAGCCTTCTCTCTATCTTCAACATTAAACGGCCCCTTCAGATCGCCTCTCCAACCACGTCTCACTTCCTCCCTGAAAGCCTGCACAGGATCTACCCCCTGTCCCTGCTCGCACAGCCACGTGAACCACCGATGCCCCGATGTAACGTGGGTCACTTCATCGGCATGGATAACCTCCAGCACTTCCACGCTCTTCATATCTCCCGCCTTGCGGAACCGCTCGATCGTTCCTGGGTTGACGTCGAGCCCACGTGCTTCGTGAACAAGGTGGATGATGGCGAGACGGGATAATAGGGACGTTGAGGTTACGGTTGCTGATTCCCAGAGGGATGCGTGCACGGGCATGGTCCCGTATGGGGTAGTTGGGGAGATCTCTGAGAGTCTGGATGTTAGGAGTGTGCTATTAGACGTCAATATTAGTGTCCGGAACGAGAGGAAAAAGGGAGTGTCACATACAAATGTTTTGACTCGTCCAGAGCCATCTTGGTAAAGTCAGAGAAAAAGGCGGGAGGGATATTTGGATGCGATGGTCCGAAACGCGCCATGATGTCCCATCTAAGAAGTAGTATGAGAGTTTTATCCTAGATAAGAAAGAGAATAAAGACAAACGCGAGGTCAATCCTGAGCGTAGCACTGTAAGTCAACAAGCTGAAGAGCTCTGGATCACAAAACAGACTTACGCCCACTGCTCAATGTTCGCCAACGCATGGAGCATAACCGCCCTGTTTTTTCTATTCTTCATCTTGCCAGGATCTACTGTATTCTTCGACACGTGCTCTTCACGAGGAGGAACATCTGGTGGGCGAGGGGCATTGGGTGATTTATGGCCAATAGACGATAGCTTTCCCGTTCGAAAGAGATTCACAGCTTCTCGGGTCCGTTGTACCTTGTTCAAAGGTGAGAGGATTGTAATTCCCGAATCTGGCACCGTACTTTGAGAGCCGGGTTTGGAGTATTCAGGATTAGAACCGCCCATTGCATTAACGTTTTCGGTGGGTTGTCGATGGGCACAACGGGTTCATCGACTACAGAAGGTGTTGAGGTTGGAGCAGTAACAGGTAGTAGAGGCGCCATTGGTTTAGGAGGAGGGTCTGCAAATTCTGTTACATTTTTCACAAATGAGCATGTCAAAGCACCTATGAGTGGTTGGACGCACCTTCAGAAACAGGACGAAGCTCAACAAGACGCCAACCTGTACCGCCTGTGGGTATCTCTACCCAAACCTTGTCGATTCCGTCAGACAAGTCAGTCTTGACTTCAACGGCGTAAGTACAAGCCCTTAGCCCCGTCTCGCTCTTTCCCGTGCGCAAATCAAAGTCATATCTTTCGATAAAAACACTCCTCAGTCAATAATACGTGATATAGATCACTCGGTTGCTCACCTATGCCATGGGCAAACGGCAACAATACTTGACTCGTATTCTTCGATGTCCGCATGAGAAAGGTCTGCTCCAAGGTGGGGACAGGTGGATTCCATGACGTAAATTTGTTTATACATAGGGTTCTCCTCTGTAGAACTAGAGGGCTCGCAATCCGATTCGGAAACCTCGGGAGTTAGTCTGAAAAGGATAAGAGAGTGATATGTTCCTTCTTGAGATCGAAGAGTCAGGAAAAAACGTGAATGGCTCAGTAGAGCGCTGAAAGGAGCTATTCTGAGCGCAATAAATATCGTTCTTGGTTCACAGAACTATATACACACTGTATTTGCTCCATTCCTTGAGGTTTTTACGAGATAAGGTGGAGAATGGGACGAACGATAAGTCCGAGTCAGTGTTTGGTGTGATAAGATGATCGGTCCACGGTTGACATGTTGACATTTCACTCCCATCAACACTATTGATCTCTGGGGTTCCAGCCATATCTATTTCATGAGAACCTTGTTGCAAAAACCATCTCAGTGTCCGATCTTACCGCCGATATGAAGAAATCAGAAGCTCTGAAATTAATACGAAAAGCGCCTGTTGGAAGTGCGCCAGACAACCGATTGACTGTACCCTGGGAGGAACTGGACGGTGAAACTCATGTGAACTTTCTGTCATTCTCCATCACCTGAAATGTCTGATTGACGCTTTTGTTCACGTAGCTCCTTATCAAAAGGGCTTCTGACGGCTCCTTGGAGGGTCTTCAAGCCCTGACGGCATGGATGGAACTGAGCAAACTCACTGCTAGACAGGATCGCCTCGTACCCCTGCTGTTTCGTCATTTGCAAAAGGATCCGCCCTGCGATATAACCACTGGAGAAGGGTTTCTTGAAGCAAAGTACGCTGTGGCTTCTCTTGAAGGAATCCTACAAAGCTTCATGTGGCAATCCTCTGTCGAAAAAATCTTCACTTCCCTCGCATTCCAGCTCTTTGATCGATTCTGGGACAGTATCTGGAAATGGTTAATTGTTCTCCATAATGAAATATCTACCAAAGGACTCTTTCATACGAAAGATATGCCTGCCAATGATACCAACACACTCCTTTGCATTCGTCGTCTACTGGTCACCATCAATGAAAGAAAACGATGTACTCCAAGGTTGCTTGTGACACCTGGGGCTGTACCACTGGTCGTGAATATTTGGATTAAGCTTTCGGAAACGTCCACCGAGGCCAAACATCCCTCGGATATGCACAATTGGTCTACTATAACCAGTGCCCTCATGACTGCTGTACACGACGGCGCTATGGAGCAAGTCATAAAAGAATTTGGAGGTGATATGTCCCGATTTTCCGCATTGATTCTCAAAAGTCTCCGAACATTTACTCAAGACGACAACGGGTCTCAAAACTTCACCACAGCAGTCCTTACACTTCTTGCCTTCGTCTCGGTGACATCAGCAATGCTTCCCGGGCTGAGCATGGAGTTGCTCGCACAGCATAGTATGATCGAAATGATGCGCACGTTCGCTTTCTACGCCGACAAAAAACCTTCAGGTGAAAAGGCGGTTGAGCAATGTTATCTTCTACGTTCCGCTGCATGGTCTTCCCTTCTCTACGTGCACTCCACAGCCGCAATCACGGACGGCTTCACGTGGATTACTCAAGCTGTTCGTTCGCAGCTCATACAATCCATGCTCAAAGCAATGACAACCATGCCGGACGTCGAGGCGTTCGTACCCGCTCTATCAGCCGATCTCCGTAAAAAAATTAATTTTGAGTCATTGGAAGAGCAAACTATTCTTATATTCACCGTATTGTCTAACTTTCTCATCTATCGCTCCTTAACAAGGGAAATAGAACGTGCTATGTCTGATCCTCAAGTCGCCGGACTCGAAAAGCTCATCCCGAGAGGTAGAAAATTTTGGAAGGCGTGGGTCAGGTTCAAGGCGTTTGTTGAGGATAGAATTGAGTTTAGGCATGATTTCGACAAGGTGGAAAAGTATTCCCAGCCGTGTTCTGCGCCCGATGTGAGCGAGTTGTTCCGTGATCTCCGTTCACGGTGTGTTATATTGGTGGTAACTTTCATGCAGTGCAATAACAGGGAGACGACGCGCTACTTCAAGTTGTGTAGTGCATGTCAAACGTCGCCATATTGTTCTAAAGTGTGTCAAGCAAGAGACTGGAAATCCGGCAAACACAAGGCCCACTGTCGTAAAGTCCGACAAGAGCGTGCAGGTAGGTGCGTCAGTCCCTTATCGTCGTTTTTGATATCTGAGTCTCCATTTTAAAGCCGGGATTCCAGTTCCAATGAGCGACACAGACTACCAATTCGTCCAATACTCAGGCGAACGCGACATTCGACGACACCGCGCAAAGCTCGCAGAAGCCCATTCTTCCGTCCTCTCAATTACAAAATCAGAAGACTGCGTTATCTTCGCAGACTACTCCGGGGTGTGCGGGGCCCCTCTAGCCTACGTCGTCGACGTCCCTGAGAACTTCCCTAACAAACCCGACGAGTTTCTACCCAAGGGCCAGTGGAAACCGGGTCTACCGGTGACGGGCTCCCGCACGCATTTGATTGTGAATGTGCCGTATGGGAAGACGCATCATCCGTATTACTTTGGCGGGAATAAGGATGGACGCCCTTGGGAATTGTGGATTAATCATTTGTTGTATGAGAAGATGCCGGATGGGGTAGTGGAGAAGGGGTTGGAGATGCAGTTTGAGTTGAGGGTTGAAAGGGCGAAGGAGATGTTTACGGGCCAGGAGAGGGTGTCGTGGTTGTTGATCGATTGATGCGGTTATTATTTCGGGATCCTCAGACGTCTGAGATTAGATGTCTGGAGAAGTTATATGATTTATAGGTGTACACGCAGGCAAGTGAGTTTCTTCATTTCGTCGACGAGATTCTCATCTCATCGCGTCCTACTTTGATAGATCCGAAACGATGTCGTTGAAAGCCCGGAACTGCAGGACTCAAAAGGGGATGATACCTGCCCAGATTCTATGGACTGATCCTCGAGTGCTCAAGTTACAGTCCGATTTTGCCTCATTCATTCAATTTATATTGACTCTACCATGTTCGTTCAACCCGATTCGCTGTCATCACAGAGTAGGTAGCTCGAATACAGCGTGGTATGGAGTCCGTAATGAAGGTGGATAGCATACGTAGAAGGTTTACGCTACATTAGATACTTAAACTATAAATGAGTACAAGTTGACTTCGTTCACTCATCGATCCCATTACTCACCAATAATTTTGTGTTTGCGGCGCACAATTCATTCAACCGGTGCAAAGTATTCCCCTTTCCCTTGAAACCTCAAACACCATTGATGCAGTCTTTTTTTAAAAGGTTGTCTTTCATTAGGTTGTTATGTTTTGTTGAAAAGGTTCTCTTTGATCCCCTTTTCTCCTACATAGGCAACCTTGTATGTCATCACGACATCCATGGATTTGTGACAGTTCTATCTTGCATAGGCCAAAATTCAGTCTCTTGCCTCAAAAACATTGCCCAACTACCTTATAGAGTACTGGATGGCTCCAGAGTTTGTTGTGATGTAGTCCTCAGTCCATAAAATAGATCAAACTCTACAAGGGCTCATATGTGAGTCAAAGCTTGGTATCATGTATTAAAAACAAAGTTCTTTGAGGGGCATCACAACTCCCACATGGACTACTTGCTTCTTATACTTGCTCAGAAGGTTATTCTATTCTATAGTCTCGAGCAGCATAGGCAGCACCTGGAATTCAAAGATGAGAATTTAGAGATTAAAAAAACATCAAGCAACCATAACACAGGGTATGAAAATTCTGAAGGAAACAATTCAGGTAGATTTCTGATGCTATGCAATTCAATCTTCTCACGGGACAACAGACTCTTTCTTATTCCATCTTCATCAATTCCCAATCAAATGTATCATGTTGATATGCCAACATACACATGTACTTGCTTCAGTTCTGCAAACATATATCTGCGATACAACACTATTTTCCTGATTCCACCTCTTAAAACACCTTCAGTCTTCATATGGTGTATATTGATGTACCACCAGGCTGCAAATACCCTTCATGTCTTACTGCAGAACAGGATCCCAATGGCCTGGGTAGACCACACATGAATAATGTCTCTGGACATATACCATGAACTGAACAACAAATGACATGTGAGATTAGCAGTTTATGGGCCCACTGTCTGTTGTGGAAGGATGGCAAGGGCTCAAAAGGCCCTGATTCAGAACAATGCAGGCTCTATACTACTATGACCTAGAGAAATACATGACATGTATCTTTTTGGTCTTTTACAGGTACCTTTGTCATTTTTCCATTTGGTATTTCTTAGAAAGTTTAAAAGAAGTTTTTTTTTTTAATTCCTCCAGAAATAGTATAAAAATACAATCAATCTTCCGTTACTGTTTCTAAAATTCTATTGATAGTGTTTCTTCAGGTTTCTACAGGACTTCCCTGTGTGTCTCACAAATCTCACTGTTTGTTGTCATATACTAAGTTACTTTCCTTTTATATTTTTAAGGGCTGAAGGCAAAAAGTAAAAAACTATGTAGATAGTTGTTATAGTTACATAATTAGTTCTTTTCTTGTCCACCACATTGATCAATAACAACTACCAGGCTGATTCACTTATATAATCTAAGAACACTTGAACTCTGTTTTTTCATAACCATGTTACAACAGTCTTGAAGGGATGTATTGTAGAAGCACATATCCATGCACAGTCATTCCTTTAGACTTTGATGCATACACCGTGAAGAATGAACATTGATTCCTGTCTCACTGTGCTTCAGATTCCAAAGTGTTACTGTGCTCAAACAGAAATTCATGTATGTGATTACCCTTGTGCTAGATATCATTTCACTCGTGTTTGTCGTGCATGTTGTAAAAGATTTACCTCCCAGTAAGTGAGTCGACCCAGGTTCGAACTGAGGACCTTCTGTGAAGGACATGCGTGTTAGACAGATGCGATGACCCAACTACGCCATCGACCCAATTGTGGATGGTAGGGACGCTGGAGATACAGTCAGAGAGGGGAAGAGGAAGAGTAGACGGACGTGGAGAGTCGTGCAGATGCTGGGTCGTGCCGCGAACAGGGCTGAATATGGGATTGAGAAAGGAGGGACGTTGAGGATGCATGGATGTGATGTGGGACATGAATGGAGTTTGATGTGAAAGAGTCTCACGTAATCGCGTTGAGCACTTACGGCCACGATGAGCTCGAGCGCGGGCAAGCCCCGGCCCCTCTCCATGCCGCCGTCCGCGCCCCAGTCGTCCTCAGAGCCCTACCCCGACGCTGCCCCGAGCAGACGCACCGCCCCGTCCTCCCGCCATTCTCGCCCCAACCGCCTTCTTGGCGACTACATCCTCAGCAAGACCCTCGGTGCCGGCAGCATGGGCAAGGTCAAGCTTGCCACCCACAACCCCACCGGCGAAAAGGTCGCTGTTTCCCACCCACTCCCCTTTGCCCTTTGCTGACTGTTTCCTCGTGTAGCTCGCAGTCAAGATCCTCCCACGTACTCACCCAGGTGCACCTCCAACAAACGAGTCGGCCGCCAAGCAGGCGTCCAAGGACGCTTCAAAGGAGACTCGCACCCTCCGTGAGGCTGCCCTGTCCATGCTCCTCCATCATCCCTACATCTGTGGCATGCGCGAGATGATCGTGCACCAGCATCATTATTACATGGTCTTTGAGTATGTCAACGGCGGGCAGATGCTCGACTATATCATTGCGCACGGCCGTCTCAGGGAACGCGTGGCACGCCAGTTTGCGCGCCAAATTGGTAGCGCCCTTGAATATTGCCATCGGAACAACGTTGTTCATCGTGGTACGTGTTCTCAATAACGCTCGATTCTATCATACTCACGCTACCCCACAGATCTGAAAATCGAAAACATCCTCATCTCCCAAACCGGCAACATCAAAATCATCGATTTCGGCCTCTCCAACCTCTACGACCCCTCCTCGCGCCTCTCCACTTTTTGCGGCTCCCTCTACTTTGCCGCCCCCGAGCTCCTCAACGCAAAAGTATACGTCGGCCCCGAAGTCGACGTCTGGAGCTTCGGCGTCGTCCTCTACGTTCTCGTTTGCGGCAAAGTCCCCTTCGACGACCAGAGCATGCCCGCGCTCCACGCCAAGATCAAGCGCGGATTCGTGGAGTATCCCGTCTGGTTAAGCGCCGGTGCGTGTCTCTTCCTTCCACTTTCAATCAATCTAACTCCTCGCAGATTGCAAACACCTCCTCTCCCGCATGCTCGTCACCGTGCCCTCCCAACGCGCGACGCTCTCCGAAGTTCTCTCGCACCCGTGGATGCTCCGCGGGTTCCCGGGGCCCCCAGACGCACACATGCTGCGTCGCGAGCCGCTGCGCGCTGACGACCTCGACCGCGCGGTCATACGCGGGATGCAAGGCTTCGAGTTCGGGGACGAGGACGAGATCGAGCGGCGGCTGAAGGACGTGCTGAGCTCGGAGGCGTATAAGAAGGCGGTGAGGGGGTGGGAGAGGAAACATGGGTTGGGCGTGGGCGGAGGGGGGGTTAATGGGTTTGGGAATGGGAATGGGGTGGGTGCGGGAGGGAGTGCGGGGAGTGTTGGGAGTGGACATGGGTGGGGGGGACATGGGAAGCATGAGAGTGTTAGCGCGACGAATTATGGAGTCTCACACTCGAGTCTGGCGATGTCGTTCGACTCTGGGACTGCGAACGGTGGAACGCCCACGAAGGATAAAGACAGGGAATCATCCAAGAAATCCACGAAACGTTTCTCCGGCTTCGGGTTCTACGGTCGTAAACTCTTCGGTGGTGGTGGCGTTAGCGGTGGCACTGGAGGTGGTGGAGGCGGCTCATCAAGTTCCCCGCCGTCCCCGTCCGCACATACATCGCTGTTCTCGACGTTCTCTCATCGGACTGGGGGCGGACATGGGTGGGCCGGGTTAAGCGCGTTCGGCAGTGGACACGGAGGCAGCGGAGGAGGCGGTCACGGAGGAGCGGGAGGAGGAGCAGGGGAGGAAGAGATGGACCCGACGAGCGGGTTCCACCCGCTTGTGAGCATGTATTATCTTGCACGGGAGAAGATGGAGCGGGAGAAGGTGTATGGGCCTGGTGTGTTTGCGAGCTCGCAGATGAGTCTTGGGGCAGGGACGGGGGCGGGGGTTTCGTCGGAGGGTGTAGGGGTTAATGGTGTGGATGCGGGAACGGATGTGGGTGCGGATGATGGGAGGGAGAGTCAAGATCTCATGCGTGGGGACCGGGACAAGGAGCGCGACAACAAAGATAAGGACAAGGACAAGGAAAAAGAGAGAGAGAAAGAAAGAGACAGAGAAAAAGCAGACTACACGATGCCTCTCCCGCGTCTCCCCGCGCCTGCGACGACGCATTTCTCAGCACGGGCATATGAGAGTCCAGGGTCTACGCCGACGTCGCCTGCGTTTCCCGGGGCGGTTCCTGCTTCTGCGCCGCAGCCGAGGGCGAGGGACGCAGGGGCGGGGGTTCCGTCGAGCCCGACGCCACATACGCATACGCCTACGAGTGCGCAGATACAAGGACAAGGAGGGGCAGTAGGGGGACAAGGGCTCGAGCAGGGGATACAAGAGGCGGGGGCAGGGATACGAGCGCCGCCTGCGACGACGCATCGGAGGAGTCATAGTATGTCGCAGCGGCCGATGTGGGGCTTTGGGCATGCTGGGCAGGGCGGTGGACATCCCGAGGTGGCGAGGTTTAGGGAGCGGTGGGAGCATGAGGAGGAGAGGGAGAGGGAGAGGCAGAAGAAGGAGAAGGAACGAGAGAAGGAGAAGGAGGAGAGGGAGAAAGAGAGGAAGGAGGAACATGCACATGCGCCGCTTACGACGACGCTCGTGAGGAAGTTTGGGAGTATGCTTGGAGGCGGGAGTCGGTATGGTCATGGGTCGTTGGGACGGAAGGGCTCGATTTCGGCGCCTCACTCGCACTCGACGTCGCCCGAGCCAAAGTCGCATTTGCAGGTGCAGGCGCAGGGTGGGGATGGACAGGAGAAAGACAAGGACAAGGAAGAGGAGAAAGACAAAGATAAAGACAAGGAGAGACAGAAAGAAGAGAAGGAGAAGGAGAAGGAGAATGCACCACCACCACCTAAAGAAAAAGAACGAGGCGTGGTCCACTCGTTCTCGCAGCCTCTTGGATCCGTACACCGACGCGCGGCGACTATCCTTGATCCGCAGGGCCGCGGGGGCGGTAGCGGCGTTACGAGCGGGCGGCACGGTCATGGACATAGTAGGCGAAGCTCGACGGGTGCTGCGCTTCTTGGTATCGGTACCGGTGCAGGTGCGGATACGGGTGCGGGGATGGGAGGGAGCGTGGGGAGACATCGGAGGCCGTCAACGGGGTATAGTAGTCATGGTGGGCGGGAGAGACTTTTTAGGGAGGATGTTAGAGAGGAGGTAGGTGAGGAGGGGGAGGAGGGGGAGAGGGAGGTGCAGGAGGGGGCGCATGAGGAGGCGCATGAGGACGGGGAGAGGGAGTTTAAGCCTGTGTTTTTGAAGGGGCTGTTTAGGTGGGTGTAGAGTTTTCTTTCTTTCGTTTTTTGGAAGGAGGGTAGAAGCTGATTTTGGAATGTACAGCGTCGCGACGACCTCGACGAAACCCCCGTCTGTGATCAAAGCTGATATTCGGAGGGTGCTCGATAGGATGCAAGTCCAGTACCGCGAAACGAGGACCGGGTTCGAGTGTATACATCTTCCGTCTATTGATCTTTCGTCTGTCGTTGCGAACGACGCGGCGAACACGCAGATGCATCGTCTGCAGCATACGCTCTCTGGTGCGTCGGGCGTCTCGAACACGAATAGTAATAACAACAGGCCGGGGATCGTGAAGAAGGCGTCGAAAATCTCGTTTAGTATGAAGAAGAGGGATGGAGGTGCTAAAGAGAAAGAGAAAGAGAGGGAGAGGGAGCAGCAGCAGCAGGAACAGGCCGGCCGGCCGAGTGGAGCGACGACGACGCTTTCGATGACGCCGGGTGGGTCTTCGTCGTTCTTTAATATTCTTCCTTCCGCCGCGGCGGGGGCGCAGGATCATCATCATCACCAACAGCAGCAGCAGCAGCAGCAAGTATCCGCCTCGCCTACAGCGCCAGGTGCGAACGGGGTAGGACTCGCGATGGTCCCGTCGAACGAGCTCGTGTCGTCCTCTGCGACGTCGAGGACGAAAGTGCTCCCACCCCATACCGCGCGATTTTGGGGCCCCGGCGTCACAGACGCCGAGGACGCCGAGCCCGTTGCCGACGGGTGAGGTTAATAGAGAGGTCTTTGAGACGATGGGGAATAATACCCTTAGTGTGAGGTTCGAGATTAATATTGTCAAGGTTCGTGTCTCTGCTCTTGCTTTTTCTCTTCGGTATGCGAAACTGATTGATGTGTTTGGGTGTACAGGTTCCGTGGTTACCACTACATGGGATTCAATTCAGACGCACGAGTGGAGATGGCTGGCAGTACCAGATGCTTGCGCGGAGAGTGCTTACTGAGCTAAAATTGTGATGATGGTTAGATGGTTGGATGAATAGTCCTGGATGGATGAACAGGTCAAACAACGATATGATTTAAAGTATATTCTGACCCCCCCTCCCCCTCCTTCCCTCCCCCGCTTTGCTTCGAGTTGTGCATGCATCCCTTGCCCTTCCTTCTGCACCACCTCCGTTAAGCCTCGTAATTTCACTCACTCACCCACTCACTTCCTCCCTGCTTTGTGCTATTGCTTTCTTCAACTCTCCCCTTGGTCGCTCCTCTCCACCTACTACTGCTGGTCTGATCATTTTTTGTCTTGTCGTTTTTCTCCTTGCTATTTATAGGTATAACTCTCGTTTTTTTCCCCTCTCTACTCCGGGTTTTCGTTTGTGAATATAAGCAAGCGTACATATACACTTGGGTTTGTGGTACCGGTGGAGTCCTTTATTACAATTTCAAGCAACCGTCAAGAACCAACGCAGGAACTCTCGAGGTGGATATTATTTATTATTTATCGTCTT